ATCCCATCCCATCCCATCCCATCCCATCCCATCCCATCCTATCCTATCCTATCCTATCCTATCCTATCCTATCCTATCCTATCCCAGCTCTTAATGGCCTTCCGAAAGGCTAAAAGAATAAAAACAGAACAATTTAAAATATCCACCGTCACATTTAAAACCAAATAGAAATATTGCAGTGTCAGCCTGAGCTCTGGGTCATGACCTTGCAACATACATTTCTTTACTTTTTCAGCCTTGTGGTTTGTACCAGATGCTAATGAAAGGTAATACATAGGTAGCAGATGACTTTGGAACTAGAAGCAGTTTCAGAAAATAATATGGAGTGTAACCAGAAATTCAAAGGGAACAAATGTCAAAACCTTCATTAAATTTGAATGAAAATTAAAAGAGGATAGCAAAGCCTTGGAGTTAAGACTGGCTATATGGACAACCATGCAGTTTTCTTTATAACAAGGCCAAAATGATTTGCCATTACCTTTCCCTTGACACTTTTCAGCTTCCCATCTTGTCTGTAGTCCTGTTCTCTTGGCTAAATATTGACCAGGCCCAACGCTTCATAACTTCAAGCTGTGACAAGGTCAGCCGGGTGTTTCCAGCTGCTGGGATTGAAAAAGGAGGAACAAATACATTCATTTAGATAGTATTATGTAGCATAGAATGGTCACTGCAGTGGCTAGAGGTTGATCTAATCTCACTTTGAGAAAAAAAAACATTCAGTTCAATCCTCTGCAGTGAAAAAGATGGACAAGTGAGATGTCTTCAATTCCACAACTTCCCTCCAATGTTAAAAAAAAGTATGAAGAGTTGGGATTAGGAATACAATATGGTTATATGATTCATAGGTTGATGTGTTAGAAACAACAGCACAGAGAGAGAGGAGTGCTTCAAATATTTAATTATTTCTCAAGAAAGACTTTTCTTGTCTGTGGTATACTGACTTTTTTTTTTTTTTTTTAGCCTATCAGTTGCAAAGTTGTCCTGACCCACGTCCCTTTCGCAATGGCTTCGTGATTGGGACCGACTTTACTGTAGGACAAACTGTTTCATTCGAGTGTTTTCTTGGATACACTTTAATTGGAAACTCAGCTCTTACTTGCCTTCATGGGATCAGTCGTAACTGGAACCATCCTCTTCCAAGGTGTGAAGGTATGTTTTCAGTAGATACATACTAGTTCTTACATTTTGTTTTCTTTCTCACAGTATTGTCTACTAAAAGCTCAAATAATTTGATTCAAATTCAGTCTTTCAAAAGACCGGCATCATCAAGAGATTGAAAGTAGGACAGGGATCCACATAGTAGTTTGACTGTTGAGAAACAAAATGATATCCATAGAAATGAAAAGAAAATTGCTTCAGGGAAACAGCAACTATTTCAAGATCTGATCTCTGATTGATTACAAATCGGATTCATTAGTTCTGCACTAGACTTGTGGCATGCCCAATATTAAAGATTCATGTTACATTTTGTTATGTGCTGTAAGCCAGCTACATGGTTTAATATTAATATTCCCCCTGCAAACATACTGTAGCAATTTTAGTCAGACTGAGGTTGGCATCGGAAGCAGCTTTATGAATTGTAACTTCATTATGTTGCATGTGCTGCTAGTTCCTGTCATGGCAGAAGGTTTATTCTTTTCTTTTCTTTTCTTTTCTTTTCTTTTCTTTTCTTTTCTTTTCTTTTCTTTTCTTTTCTTTTCTTTTTCTTTCTACATTTTGATTTAATGCATATACAGTATATTGGTTAATATGGAATTACAAAGATCAAAATGGTTAAAAATAAGAATGTACTTTTGAATTATATACCAAAATATATCACTGTAAGTAAAACATGGATTTACTGAGCATGGGGTGCAGATAAAAAAAATTGTTCTTCGAAGTTGAAAAGACTTTGTGGCTCTAGAACTGCAATCTTTGATTGATGATACATGTTCACTTCCCCTTGATGAACAATTTCTGATGTTCTTCCTGATGAAAATTTCTCAGTGTAATGGAACATTTAATATTATTTTGTGCAGTCAAGGTACAGTTGTAGTTTTAAAAATCAGACTGTATTTTTTTTTAATCCATAATATGTGTTCTGGGGTGGAGGTCAGTTCTGTCTGTATTTAGGGTCATTTGTGGTTTGGTTTGGTTCTTTCTTTTTATATTAAAGCAATAAAAATGTGATTGTGTGTGTGTGTGTGTGTGTATTCATAAACATTATGATATTCTTACACTTAACTTCCTTCCTTAGCTCTTTGTGGAGGAAACATAACTGCTATGAATGGTACAATATATTCACCTGGATACCCTGATGAATATCCAAATTTTCAAGACTGCTTTTGGCTAGTAAGAGTACCACCAGGAAATGGAATTTATATCAATTTCACTGTTCTTCAGACAGAACCAATATATGATTTTATAACAGTTTGGTAAGCAGAAATTACCATATTCTCTTTACTCTGCAATATATTATGCATAGGAACAAGCAAAATTACTAAATGCAAATTACTGTTTTAACTGTTTTAACAGCTCAGATGTATTGATTTAAGCACTGTTTTACCATTCTCGTGTGGTATAGAAATTGTCCCAATTAGTCAACAACAAACTCAGTATTAATATTGTTCACTATAGCAGTTAAAGAACACTAAGATCTGCTACATGGTAGATAACAGTGTCCCTGAAAAATATATTACTGGAATCACATGTTTATATAAGGTAGATGATGAATTCTTTAAGTTTATGTTCAAAGGACCAAATCTATTAATACAGGATTACTGAACATAGTTCTACTTACTTGGGATAGAACACATGTAAGGTTGAAACAAATATTTATTTCTCAATCTAAATTCACATTTATTTATATATTTCTTACACATTTGACATGTTGAAAAATTGGAATTCTTTCTGCAGTGTGCAGATGTTTAAAATATAATATGCCAAACATTTTCTTATTTCAAATGTATGAAATAAAAGATACTCCAAACTTTATCCCAATGGCTATGTATGTATGTATGTGTGTGTGCGTGTGCGTGTGTGTGTATATGTATAT